CGGCCCACGGGATGAGGTATGGTATCCGCACATCGTCAAGGCCCATACCCAAGTACGTATCGGTCCTCCAGTAGCATTGGCAACCACTTGCAAGTCGTGCGCTCTCAATGTTTTCTCCCTTCTCCCCCTACCTCGTCCTCTCCCTCTCTCTTTTTTCCCGTTCCAACACCTCGACCCGCGACACCCGCCCGCCGTGGCGGTATGGCTTTCTAGTCCCCCTACTGCCACAGGGCCGACTAATGCCTATTCGGGTGAGAGGCATGGCGCGTCGCCTCCACTGGCATTCTCTGTCTCGTTTCTCGTGTAACAACCGAACCCCCCGCGAGACATACCAAGCAGCATTGTCTCTGGCACAAACTCGTCCCGGAATCGCACATCATTGACAATGATTGGATCGCAGCCAGCTCCGAACCATTCCGTCCATTCACCAAAAGACTCTGGAGTCCACTTATGCCTAACCGTGGAGAGGAATCGCATCTTGGGCGAGCAGAAGCAGAGACATTCAAACGCAGACGATGCTTGGCCTTTCCATCACCTGCCTGCCAGTTAGGCCGAGTTGGGCCAAGCAAATGGAGAACCTTCAAACGACCGGGGGACATCTCTGCGGGCTTATCCGCATCCCAAGGTACCATCCCACGAACTTCGATATTTCGGACATGGCAGCTCGGCAAACCTTGTCTGGTTCCATCCATACATGCTTCGCACCCACAGAGTGTTGTTGCGTCGCTACCAATGTTCCCACACGCTTGACGGAAATAGCGTGTGCAAACTTTGAAAGTCTGGACGAGACACTAGAATCCATGCAACATTCATTGCCTGCGTCTTCAGTAAAACGTCTAGAGTACGGCGCTAATTTGGATCATCGTCGTTGGAATCTGCTCGGCTGACTGTCGGCGGAGGCATACCAAATCCGGACTGCCGACTGCTTTCTTTTCAGTTTCACTTCATAGGGCCATCATTAACCCTTCTCTGACTTGTCAAATGCAGTGTCCGTGTCAACGATCGGAGCCCCAGGAAAGGGGTCTTTCTGGTCTGGCTGGCATACGGAGTACGCACGGCGGTGCCACAGCCAGCCCGTTGCCGACACTACCTCTCGCCTTCGTACCAATCAATCACTAATCGACCTGAGATCGGTCGATGTGCAGCCCGGGACCAGGCATTCTGGGACGCGGACCGAAATGCAAAAGCATAGCCAAGGCAGACGCCGCTATCCACCCCTGGACATGGAGACTTCCTGTGGCCATTTAGGCTTTGGGAAAAGGGGGGGGGGGTCAGCATCGGCACCACCACCGTCAGCGGTCCCTTATGCCTGGAACCCTGGGTCGTTCGGCTACGTTGCTCACGGCGCGGGCCATATTGCGGCGCACGCTATGAATTCAGCAAACCATGCTCCATCTTATCTCATCCCCCGGTCTGCCACCATCAAGTTATACGTTTTTTGACGGACAACACGGGCCACTCCCGCGCCTCCTTCGGAGCAAAGAGTCAATGCGCCAGATGCCCGCTGACCGATCCGCGGCCGTCTGCGTCCCCAGACGAAGAGAACCTACCTCGGGCGGGATGATGCCTGTTCCAGTCCTGAAGCAACCCAGGTGATGTCGGCGCGGGGGCGTGGGCATGGCTAATTTTCCCTTGACACGCCAAACGAAAGCCGACATGCTCTGCAGAGAGGCGACAGCTAAGCAAGAAAGCCACGCCGATCATCCGTCCCTTGTCCCAGTCGTCTTGCTATTGAGAGTCACGAGTGTATCCATAGGCTCTGTCAGTCAACCTCGAAGCCGGCTGTGGAACGCGCCATGGGAATGCGGCCTAGAAGATGCAAATCGCCATCTGCACTTACGACGGAATGGACAGCGATACTGGAACCACGAGAAGCATGGAGTTGTGATCTTCACGATTATTTCACGTCACAATTGCAGCCGGCAATTGCCACCTGATGACGATACGTTTGGCATATCCCGCCTTTCATCGCCGTCAAATGTTCCACAACAGTCGTTCCCGCTGGTTAGAACCGTTCGAATAAAGGTCAATGTGCCAGGGTTGAGCACAACAACAACCCCAGCTACCTTGCGGGGCCGCCCGGCCGAATACCAAATCTGGACCAGACGTACCGCTGAGCAGAGGCACTGGAGTCCTGGACGGCAGAGTATCAGAAATGTACGAAGATCCGTCCTACGGTCCCTCGTCTCCCAAGCCAAGCGTTTGGCTCAACAAGAAGCTTGTATCCCTCGGGCATATCACACGAATAATGTCCAGGCAAAGAACTCCCTTGGAGTCTCAGACCCAAGATGCACAAAATGTTCGGCGAAAGCGCCGAAGGGACTTCTTACGCTGTCCAACGGGACCCTTGTGAATGCAAATGTACTTTCCCTCGGGGATGGAGAGCAGCTTCGCTCGTCTGTTCCGGTTGGCACTATCCGGAAATCGTTCCAGCATCCTTGCTTGGCCGACCTTGATCTTGACCTGGGCCGTCCACAGCGACCCCTCGTGCGCTCCCACCAATGCCCGCCTCATTCCTTCTGCGCGTGGGGTTGATCAGAGACATGGGGCCTGGTGTGTGGCCAGAAAGCACATTCACACCATACGGATGGCACACCCGCCTTTTCTACAGGCTTGGTTCACTCGACTGTGTTGCTATGCTGTTCTGACTGTGTCCCCATAGAATTACTCTAGCAGAACCAACAGCCCGGACGACGGCGACGAAGGGGTAGAAGCAAACATGCTTATTCCAGACTCTATCGATCTAGTCGGTGCCAGAGAACCCCTCCGTAATGGAGAGAGCAGAGGGACAAAGCCAGCTTAATCAAGAGAGACAGCAAGCAAGGGAGAGGCGGGCAAGCAATGCTAGCCGGTGAGGCCCGGCACACACAGTCAATTTGGGGGCCGACAGCACGGCCGGCTAGAATTCGACCATTTTCCCACCCTCCCACGCCTCCCTGCACCCCGGCCACTGCTTCGTGGGAACGCAAGCTTCAGACCACCACTCATTGCTTATTGCTCAAGTCGGCCACATCCATCCCCGATTAAATTCGCAATCCCACTTCCCTGATTTCCCTACGAATTGTGACCTTACGCATTCCCAGCAGGGCAACTCTCTTTACCAGAACGTTTTCACCAGCACAGCGTTCATTCAGACTCTTCGAATTGCAAGCCAAACTTCGCTTATTCAATCACTGCACGCATCATTGATCCCGAGATACCAGCTTTACCTGCCGTCCCCAAAGCTTCGTTCTTTAAGCTCTCCACCTCAGCAAGCAAAGAAGTAGGACTACGCCTATCCAGTCATCGCACCTTGGCCACCCGTCAAACCCGAATTTGTTCAGCACCTTATCGTGGAGTGCGGGTTACCCGACGTACTGCAGGTGTTTCGTGTAGCACCTGAAGCAAACACCCGTCGGTCGCAAGCTGTCGACAGCCACTGCCTGCTCATCTGTGCCACTTGAGGCCTGCCTTACTTAGCATCGCCTCGACAAACATTGGTCACAGTCGTCCAACTCTGCGTATCTTGCCCTCCCCTATCCCAAGTCACTCTGTCACGAGCACAGTCATCCTGGCGCAGCGCGGGTTCTACAGGAGGGGAGCCCACTGGTACTTGGTGCACCGAGTATCTCGTCAAGGTTTCTGCGCCCAAATATCTGCCACCCCTCACTGGCTTCGCGGGTCTATAACAGGCCCGAACCGCCACGATTTCTTCCCAACTTCGCATTCAGTCTATACTCTCTCCTGCGTCGGATTCCGATGACGCACCCACAGCGTCCTCCACTCACACCACGCCGAAGAGGAGATATCAAGAAACCTTTTCGCCATCGGAGAGAACCTCCGCGCCCCCCACTGTAGCAGAGCCCGCAGATAGGCAAGCTTCGGGAGGGGCCAGATTTCACACGTCTGTCGTGCCCGACGACGATGACTTGAGGCCGATCTTGGCGGGAGGCTCAAGTGCCAAGAGACCTTCTAGAGCCATGCGGCCGCCGATGAGATCTAGCATAGCTTGTTTGAGATGCAGAAAATCTAAAATCAAATGCGACAACGACAACACTGGGTCGCCTTGCGACACATGCATCAAGGCAGGACACAAGTGTGAGTTTCCTGATCCAACGCCTCTCCCGGCGAAACGATCAGAACCGCCAACTGCGCCGAAGCAGGAAAGGGAAGTCGGGCATGATCGGAAGCGAGTGAAGAAGCTCGAAGATGCAACGTCCTCGGATGGGCGTACTGTTGCTGCGCTCGCCCAGGAAGTGCTTTCGGCACCATATCTTACTGTCGACTTGTGGCATCAACTCTTCGACATTTATAAGTTGCACTTCGCTACCGAACTCCCGTTCTTGCACCTACCAACTCTCAAGGGTATCATTCACGACAAAGACATTAAGAAGCCGTCAACCGAATCAAATCTGATCCTATTGGGCATTCTGGCTCTCACTGCAAGATTTCACCCAGACTTGGTCAAATATGTGGCGCACATCACACATGACAAAATCGCGGGCCCAAAATCTCGCGGTGCTCTACCCAGGCCGGAGCCATCAATGGCGTCAGAGTACTTTGCAAATGCTCTTACAAAGGCACTTGGGCAACTCGAGTCAGCCCTGACATCAGCTACTGTCGTCCGTGTCCAAGCTTTTCTCATGCTCGGCCTATACAAATGGAGCCAGCCGAACGGCGGCCTAGCTGCGTGGATGTATGTTGGTGTTGCCATACGGATGGCCCAAGGCTTGAAGTTGGGGTTTGGAGACAAGCCTTTGGGAGGCAAGAGAACCTTGGCTCCATCTCCTCGGTCGAGTAAATCTGCTCAACTACCCTCGGACCGTTGGAAAGACCAGGAAATCAGACGCCGTACCATGTTTAGCTGCTTGATACTAGATCGTCTCTTGTCTTGCGGATCTGATCGGGTTTCTATGGTTCGGTCCGACGATCTTCAAATCCAGCTGCCATGCACCGAACACGCCTTCGACCTGGGCCGCGTTGTCTATACCGGATTCTTACGACAGGTGGGACATGGCGGCATGGGGCCACCGATCGACGACAGCGTCTTGAGTCGATTTGTGCAACTAGCAGATTTCTGGGGCGATATCACCAAGTACAGTTTCGCGGGCGGCCGCCATACGGAATCCCTTCCGCCGTGGGACCAAGAGTCGACTTTCTATCAACTAAACAAAAAGGTTGATGCCTTTTACGCTCACCTTCCGGAAGAATTTACCTGGTCCAGCTCGAACTTTTGGAAACACGACAACAGTATGTACGTATCACTTCACATGCTGGGCGCCCTTTGCAAAATCATGCTACATCGCGAATACATCCCGTTCATCGCCATCAAATGCTCCGAGCCGGTTGGTCCTCTGGATGAGCCCGTATTTGATCCCGAAACTGTTCCCGACCACTTTTGGGAGCGCAGCGCAGAGCAGGTTTTTAAGGCTGGAAGGGAAATCATCGACCTCATCTCAACATGCCGAGACAAACTTCCTCATTCGTCACTGGTCATATTCGCGATTTGGCAAGCAGCGTTTGTTGGAATATACGCACGGCACTATCCTCACATGGATACTCAAAATCACATGGTCAGCAAACAGGAGATCGAAGAACGGAACTCGGGAGCCATCTCTGAGAACACGCAGACGGGGAATACCAGTATCGCTTTCCAAGCATTGACCAAAGTTGCACCTTACTTCAGCATGGCCTCCAATTACGTCACGTATTTCAAGGACATTGATCAGTATCTCACCAAGGTCTTCTCCGACTACACGAGTCGAGGTTCGAGGAAGAGCGGGGATGGTTCTCTGACCATTCGACTGGGCGGAGGTGGCGGCGGACTGGAAGAGTGGAGGGTAAAGGCCGATAAGATTACGAGCAACGGCATCATTTTGGACGACGACCGGCCAACAGCCTACGATGGCTCCGACGGATCGCGGGCTAGCACGTTAGAAAGGAGCTCTTCCTTGGGCCCTGAGTATTCCCATCTCAGCGGCAGTGGTTCGGATAGCCGAAGGGATTCTCGCCAGGCGTCGTCATTTACCGCCATCAACGCCGCCGCATTCCACCAGCAGTCCGGCCACGAAGGCTATGCCGGAGGCTTTCCACATCACTCACCAACCCAGGGCTTCCCGCCAACTCCCGGCTCCCTGCCAAACGAGGCTGCGATGGCTGGCCTCAATGCCGAGACAGTCAGTATCGATTCTTATGTTCAGCAGAACCAGGGTCAGCGATTCGGCACCATGCTTGAGGACATTCAAGAATTCACGACGGGCGGGATGGTCTGCGCGCCCAACATTGGTGACTGGGACATGCTCAAGCCCCCCTTCTACACGCAGATGGCCGGGGGCAACCCGTTGACCCAGTTCAGCGGGAGTTATTCTTGAAGGGTTCAGATGAGCAGGTGGGGGAGGCTTCGAGGCCCCCAATCCGAGACACGGTTATATGGGGAATGATGTATGGGAACGCCGTGTCATGGAATTGCATTTAAGCGCGTGTGATATTTCAGACAGAAGTTACGAGTGCGTTATAATCTTTGGTACGAAGCTATGACGAATCCCCCGCCGCGGAGCGAACAGTCACAGGAAAATGTCGACCGGGCATAATCAGCATGAGAGAGCGTTAGAAGACAAGAAAAAGAAAAGACAATCATCACTGTATTGGGCTACAAAAATTCATTACGCGGTGCAATAAGTTGCGCCACATAAGGGAAGGGGTAAGAGTAGGTTTGTCAATTTTGGCCCTCTAACGAAGACCAAGGCAAATGCGTGACGAAATTTACTGATGGTATCGTCACCCTTGGCGCCACCGCGAACGTTGAGCACGTTCTCCTCACGCTCACGTCACGCAGTTTCCTCGTGGTATTCTTTCGTTTCTTTCTGCTTGCAGCTTTCGCTCCTCCGTCACGTGGGGAAGGCGTGTCAGAGTCGAGTCGAGTCGACTTGATTTGAGTTCGAGTCAAAAAAGGAGGAACAAGTTAAGTCAGCTTTTTTTGTTTTGTTTTGTCAGTCAAGTCAGTCAAGTCAGTCAAAGCTGACCTCAGTCAAAAAAGGGGTCTCTGTCCTGTCTCTGTCCTGTCTCTGTACTACGCCGGCCGTGTCCGTTCCCCTAACATGTTTCGGTAGTGGAACAATGTCTCGACTTTTTATTTTCCTGGAATGAAGGTTTACCGATTCCCAGGTACGCGTTTTTTTTTTTGTGTGCTTACGCCGGCTTCTTTTCTCACCCATGACAAAAAAAAAGTTGACCGAAAGGGAGCGCATTCCATCCCCTTCTAAACCCTTCACCCTTGGAAGGGGACCGTAATTCGAGCCCCAGCTGGCTTGGCCCCAGGCCAGCCAGCCACGCGGAATCCAGGGTTGAGAGGTTGCGGGCGTTGAATGTTTTTTCTTAGGGGTTTCGATGACGCGCCGACCGACGCTTTTTTAAATGTATTTGTATATCTCACCTTACTCGAAAATGCCGGCGCTATTTGTCGAAGGCTCGGTCTGGAATACTATCGTGTGATATCTAAACGATTCATGTCGATGACGACTACCCGATGCCAGTGCCCCCCCCGACTTCCGGGTGAAGAAAAAAGTAAACATGTACGGCAGCGTTACACAGGGAAGAAGGAAGAAAAAGCCACGTAGACCGGCGCTCGGGAAGCCGTGTGGTGGGATCACTCGAATCCCGAGACCTTTTTCTTTCCTTTGGTACCCTTAGTGCGTCTAGGCCTATTGGGCTTACGGAAAACTCCATCTTACTCACTCACCCCTTCTTCTTCCCCCCCTTCTCCTCCCTCACACCCGCGCCCGCGGCGCGACAGCAGTCCCGCTAACATGCTGCTTTTCAGTTTCTCACCTGGCTTCTGGATCGTATCTTTGTACCACGCACACTGTTTATCATTTCTTGCGCCTCCCGAGGAAAAGATTGTTTAATTTTGTTGAATGGCATTCTGCTGTCTCATCTGACGAACGTGTGATCGTCACCGAGTGCCAGCGTGCGGTTTGTGCGGTTTGTGCAACTTGCCTTATTCGTATGCGTGGTGGGAAAGGGGAAGGGGGTTACTCCCGGTCCGAACCGTCCGGTGGGTTCGGACGATAATGCCGACCCGACCGGAAGGTAAGGTAGTACAGGGAAGGTGAGGAAGACTCGGATCCGGTGTGGGGTGCGGCTCCGGCCCGGGAGCGTACAGGACCGAAACGGGACGGACGGAATGGGGGCGGGACTGCGGGGCCCCGACACGATAACCGGACCGTGATGTCAAGACAAAGAATACGGGAGCCCAGAACAGTAAAGACGGTGAAGGCAGACAGCTGTGTCTGAGAGCATAATCCTTTTCCATCGAGGACCATTGCCCATTACCATCGAACCGTTGTTGGTAATCAAAAGGTTCGTCCCAAAAATAGAAATTAGACCAGGTTGGTCATGCAGTCAGCTTCTCAGCCCAGCCCTAGAGGGGCTTCTTGCAGCCTAGGCAGCAGCAAACGAAAGAAGGATGCAGCGGGCATCAGCAGCTGGCGAAAAATGCACGGCCACACAGCCCGCATTGGAAAGGAGAAAAAAACAAAAAAGTAGACAGATGGGCGACGCGGGTGGCCGCAGCTTTTTCGGGGCTGAGGTATGAGGGGATGACCAAACCCGACCAGACCATACGAATAGCAACAACCAACGCGGCAACTGCCAGCCATTCGTGCGTTGCAGGAGACCCAGTCTATGAGCTCCAAGGTAGGATTTTCCAGGATTTGAGGGTAATAATAAGCTTAGCTTACTAGCGAATCCCACGGGCTGCATGTCCGTCCACTTGAACAGCCTGTCCCGCGTTGGCCCTACCAGGCGACCGCTTGGTTGACCGATGAACCTGATATGCCCCAGTCAAATTATCGCTGGTCCCTTTGCCAAGAATATTGCCTTACCTCGCCGGCCACGCTGCCATTGCATGGTGGAGGCGCACTCGGAGGAGTTGCTTTTCATCCCCCGGTCCAAGCAGGCTCTAGCCCGAATCACACCTTCGTACATGGACCGACGTCTGGTGTCCAGCGCGGAGAAAATAGAGACAGGCGATTAGGCTGTCAGACTGCCAGATTGAGGGCCTTCTTGCTGCGATACTAGTTTCTGGGCACTGGCTGGGGTTCTCTTCCTTTTCACGGTAGTTTGTATCTGCGGTTGAGGCTGAGTGATGTTGTGGGCTGGTCGATGGAAGGCCCAGTGTCCGAGGCTCACCAGAGCACCCGAATATCGAAGAATATATGATCGAAGAGGGCACGCTTCTCTAGGTATTAGTGTAGCCGAATAGTTATCAGTCTCAATACTCTGTATACCATCGAGACCAAGATCTTTTCCTTTTCTCTCGCTTGTCACATTGTCAAGTACCTGTTTCAAGATGAAGGCCTCAATATTCGCTTCCGCAGTGGCCTTCGCAGCCACTGTGATGGCTTCAATCCCGACTCCACAACTAAAAGCGCCGCAGCTATCGCAATTCCCTAAGATGGGCGGCCTCCAACGTCGAGCGCATTCGGGAACGCAGGTCCACAACGGCACGTTCGACCAGTACCTAGACCATACCGACTTGTCCAAGGGCACGTTCAAACAAAGATACTGGTATAATTCGGAGCACTGGGGCGGCCCAGGATATCCCGTATTCATGTTGAATGGTGGTGAAGGTGATGCTGAGGGCCTGACCGGTTATCTGGAAAATGGCACCCTAACATACTTGTATGCTGAGACGTACAAAGGGGCAATTGTCCTGATGGAGCGTAAGTCAGCTGTTGGAGAGTCCACAAAAAGACTTTGGTAGACTGACACCTACTATTATAGACCGATATTACGGAAAATCTCTGCCCTTTAAGACTTTCACAGCCGACACCTTGCAATATCTCAATGTGCCGCAAGCCATCTATGACAACACACACTTCGCCGAAACTGTCGAGCTTTCTTTTGACAAGAAGAAAGGCGCCAACGCGGACAAGTCTCCTTGGGTATTGATCGGTGGCAGTTATCCTGGTGCCCTCTCCGCGTGGACATCTGTCATTGCACCTGGCACCTTTGCTGCCTACCATGCCAGCTCTGCCGTCGTCCAGGCTATTGATGATTTCTGGCAGTTCTTCACTCCCATTGAGCAGGCCCTGCCGCGCGCCTGTTCTGCCGATGTCAAGCTTGTCATCAAGCAAGTAGACAGCGTGCTTGAGAAGGGCTCCGCCAAGGAGATCGATGCGATGAAGGAAGAATTCGGCTTGGAGACTCTTGAGGACAATGCCGACTTCGCATGGTACCTGCTGAGGCCTATAATCGAGTGGGCACACAACGAGACCGCGGTATACGAGTTCTGTGACTACATCGAAACGAGCACAAACAACGGCAACGTGATCAAGGGCACAGAGAAGTCGGGTGTGGGTTTGAAGGCTGCGTGGAAGGGATACACATCGTATATGCACAGCCGGTATAGCGAGGTGTGCGAAGGCGAGGAATCATGCGACTTGTATGGAAAAGCCGTGGGATATAACAGACCGAACGACCTTAGTACTGATCGTAGTTGGACTTGGCAACTCTGCAACGAGCCCTTCGGATGGTGGCATGTCGGCCCGCCCAAGTCGGACGGCACCAATATCGTGTCATCGCACGTGCGGCCTGCCGACCGCCAGCGCCAGTGCGATCTTCGCTTCCCACAGACGTTCGGATTCAAGCCGGCCAGCTCTGAGGGATTCACCGCGGCCATGTTCAACGACTGGACTGGTGGTTGGAACGCCACGTTCGAGAATGTCCTCTTCTGCGATGGCGAGCATGACGGTTGGAGGTCGGCATCGATGAACTCTGATTATCGCCCCGGTGGACCGGTCAAGACCACCGAACAGACGGCTACCTTTGTGGTCAAGGGAGCAAACCACGTCCCGGACTTTCTTCTGAACAACGGCGAAGACAATGCCGCGATCATTGCGCAAGAGGTGAAGGTTATTGGCAAGTGGATTGAGGCGTGGAAGCCGAACAAGTCGTCATAGTTAGACGGGGTTATGAAATAGTCGTGGTGTGTTAATGGCATAGCATTGGGTGGTGTTTATGGCGGCTTCGGTCTCGGCAGCTATTTGCTGAATAGGGGTGTTCGAGTTTTGGTGATACCTTTTGCGTATTAGATAGGATAATTCATGAAAGGAGGGATTTGCATGTCCAAAAGGTAGAAGCCTTTTTGATGCACCGTGGAGAGACCATAAATCGAAAATCGGCGAAGCCAGGTGGTAAAGAATTGGCCAAGAAGGCGACGCAACGGCATTTCGTATATCAACTGATGGTCGACAAATCGGGATACGTCGGTGATCCATTCTAGCAAATAGAAATAGACAGCTGGCCCTACAATGTCGTGGTTGGGAGTTGGATTGGTGTGGAAGATGACTCCTTCCGGGAAATATTTGACGACTGTTTGCTCTTGACATCAGTGCTACTTTCCCAAGTAGATGGAAGTTGCCTAGTCCAGCAGGAAGGGTATCGTGCATCCAGGCAAGGACTTCTCAGGAAGCGGCGGGGCTGATCAGTCATTCCTTCCTTCGCCACATGTAGCTCTATGTACCTCAATGCTGTAGGCATACTCTTTCTCCGTCCGGCTCGGATGCAAATTGCAGAAGTCTTACAAACTCCTCACTACACCTGCGATTATCAATCGGCTACTAGGGCGTTTGGCGCTTTATTTGCTGACTACGGCAGAAGTGAGTCATTTGTGCTGTTTGTATCCATGAATAAGACAAATGTGTAGTGCTCACTCATCTTTGTTGTTTCTAGGTTTCCACTCTCCACATTGGCGAAAACGAGAACGACGGCGTAGCCTCACAACACAGGCAGATGGCGATAGTATCGGAACGACGTCCGTCCCAACGGCCCCACGAATACCTACTGATGCGGGCCGCGGTTCCTTATCTATCTTGGAGAACTCAGGAACCTCCTCGATTGGCCCCGGCTCCCACCTTGGACTACCTTGTCACTGCTCGAACCGGCCGAGTGATCTTCAGAGACAACTGATAGATAAGCTTATCAGTCTGGGGAAGATCGAGCTGCTCCTCGCCGTTGGGACGTTCCCCCCAGCACCAATGTCACGGGAACTTTCCCGTCTGTGGCCTTATGCAAGGAACAAGTGATCCAACTGGTTCGCCCGAACTCGAGATAGCCGAGCAGCGTCAATCTGGCTGTCAAACAAAGCCAGATGTCGATGCTCGCCCATCTCGCTCTACCCATACTTGACCGAGCTTCACCGAAGGTGTCTGGACCCCCCACGGCGCACACCGCGGTACCGGGCCGAATTGTCTTGACCACGCCAGCCATGGCGATAGGGTCTTGTACAGATGCATACTGGCGCAAGAATCCTCGGCCATATACGATGCTCATTACCCCTGACGATGATCCCATGTCCAACATTGTCAACACTTTTCGGAAAATACGGCAACGCGACAAAATCCTCCGTGGGCTGTTTCGGACTACAAAGCCTACTAGGGTTGGCAGACGAGAAGAGAAGCTGCACGAAGGTAACACCGACACGCAACAGCTTCCCCGCACTCGTGGACGGAAATCATGTCATGCATAAATCGCGCTTTGCTGTTGAGCTTCTCTTTCGTCGCCTTGACTTTTGCCTTGCAGTATGGCATTGTCATAAACTGCGCTTTGCAACGGGGACAGTCGATCGGCACGCCCTTTGGGTAACTCAATTGGAACGGTACCTGAGTTACCCCGCCCTCGTGTGGAATCTTTGGCTGTTCTTTGGGTGCCAGGCACAGCATCAATAGTTCAAAAGTACTATGAGAAAGTTAGCCGGGAGCCAACACTTTTGCTGCCATGTCCCGTCAGAGGAAACATGACGTCGACATATCCTCACCCACACGCAGTATGACCCGTTGTTGTCGGCAGGATTGGTCATCTGGGTGGGCTGAGGCTCACCAAGACGTGTCGTGTAAGTGTCGGAACCTCCAAAGGCCCCTCACTCTACTTGGTCTCACCCCCACAGGCTTCAGGGAGTTTTGCAGCTAATCTGGGCCGGGGTTGCAGGCTTCGTGCCGATCTGGAAGCCCAGGCCAACAAGTGCTCCTTGTCTTTGGTGGCACCTTGGACACCAGTTCGCACCGTGACACCCACTCGTGGTAGTTAGTCACGTTAGTGTAGGCGACCTCGCCAGCCGATGGGGAGCTTCCCAAGAGCTTCGAAGAGCTGTGGCAACTCCTGAGCTGCGACTAAGCTGGCTGATATCTTCACTTCTGCAGTCAGCTTCACTACTGCTCTTCTAGTGCCGAATTACTCCGAATTATGGTGTTTTTCATGAGCCTCAACCTCGCGGATGAGAGCTGGCCCTGCTGGAATTGGATGCTGCGTGTTTGGTTTGTTGGAGACACCCGAAAGCTCTGCACACTCTCTCCGAACGCTCGTTCTGGAAGCTACGAGGATGGCCTTAGCCGCGAGGAAGTTTGTATCGAGCATGCAAAGCAACCTTACCGACACCCCTGATAATTGCGGTTTCGAGCCTCGCCAAGATGCCGCACAACTTTCTTTTTTCGCCAGATATCTTTCGACCAGGCAACAAATGCCAAATAAAGGTCTCTTGAAGCTTACCCTTTCCCGCGCAGTAGGGCGCAACAACGGCCGCTTCCAATAATCAAGGTACCACAACTATGTCGAATCCGGTGATCCGCGTCGAGCTCCAGCAATAGTAGCGTGGCTGCCCCCTCGGTGGGGCGTGGGATACGCCTCAGATGACGTCCGCTGATTTGCTCAATTACAAACCTCTCCCACTCTCTGTCAAGGATGAAGCTGTCACGCTCCTCTTCTATCTGCACGTTATGACCAAAGGAATTGCACTGACTGGTACAAGGTCCACGGAACCGGAATACCTTTAGTGTACTTCCGAACGCAGCCTTCAATGTGCTGCCGTCTCACTTGATCCCATGTCTGGCGCCCAGTACCCCGATCGTACACATGCTCACGCTGGCTGCCAACATCCCCAAAATACTTCTCAGCTCCGTCAAGTAGCTGCACTGTAGACCAGAATGGCAAACCATGGCCCGCCGAGTCACCAATTGTACGTCTGACAATCCACACTCAGCACTTGGTACATGTCTCGAACATGCCCTATTGCTAGCATGGCAACACCAACGTGTACCGTCGTATGCTTGCCGGCACCTCCGCCGGTCTGGGAGAACCCAGGTAACTTTGCTGTGGCCCCTATAAGGTAAAGGTACTCGTCCGTTCTTCTCGTCTCGAAAGCACATGTTGTCTTGCACATGCTACTTTCAACATTCTTCATATAACTCTGACCTTTGTTCCTCTCTCTTGTATCCGGCCTGTATTCAACACTCAAGCCACTGTCTTTCCGTAAACCCAATTACTTGTCACGATGGGTTCTCTTGCCGTCTCTCAGGACAGCGTTCCCCACGCCAGTATCAAGGCGACTAAGCAACAGGCAGTACAACCAGTGGGCAAACATGTCCTTGACATCATCGATATTCGACGCGTTGCGGTTGAAACAAACTTGAAGGACGACATCATTTCCATGTGGAACCCCACAAACGGACCCCGGAGGCTACCGACCCTGCTTCTCTACAATGAACGGGGCCTGCAATTGTTTGAGGATGTAAGTGCTGATCGAGTGCTCCTCAGCTCAGCCACATCTTGCGTGATCAACGCTAACAACTACCCCAGATCACATATCTGGAAGAGTACTACCTGACCAACAACGAAATCGAGGTTCTTGAGAAAAACTCAAAAGAGATTGCTCAGAACATCTCAACCGACTCTATGGTCATTGAGTTGGGAAGTGGGTCAGTGAATACCTGCTAAAAATTGATGACTCGCCTGAGATGATTCTGACCTTTTCTTGAAGCAACCTTCGTAAAGTTTGCTTATTGCTACAAGCGTTTGAAGACGCCGGCAAGAACATCGATTACTACGCACTCGACCTCTCCCGAGAAGAATTAGAGCGCACGCTCGCTCAAGTTCCTGATTTCCATCACGTCAAATGCCATGGTCTTTTGGGGACCTATGATGATGGCCGGGAATGGCTGAAACAGCCATCCAACCTGGCGCGCACCAAGTGCATCTTGAGCTTGGGTTCAAGCATAGGTTAGAGAAACTAGATCTTCGATTCTCAACTCTAGGCATATCTGACTACTTGTGTAGGAAACTTCGAGCGCGATGATGCGGCCGGATTCCTCAAGCACTTCAGTGACGTTCTGACGCAGTCGGACAAATTGTTGATTGGGCTGGACGGATGCTGCGATCCTTCCAAAGTCTAGTGAGTTTCGACCCCGTAGCTCTCTGGTCTTCAGCTAGCTAATCTCAGGTCCAGTCATGGTTACAATGGTAATGGCTCTGCCTCGTCCAACCCACTAAATCCATCTACTAACACTTAGGTTTTCAAGACCAGAAAGGAGTAACTCATGCGTAGGTGTAACATGAACCACTGTTTCAGCCCCATTGACTGACCTCTCTGTAGGTTCATCCTCAACGGACTCGCCAATGCCAATGAGATCTTGGGAGAAGAGGCCTTCAAGCTCAAAGACTGGGAAGTCATCGGTGAGTATGTGTACGATGACGAAGGAGGACGTCACCAAGCTTTCTATTCGCCCGTTCGAGACACATACGTTTTGGGAGCACTTGTCAGGCAACACGAGCGCATTCAAGTTGAGCAGAGCCTGAAATACTCTCAACTGGGAGCCGAGAATTTGTGGAACATGGCAGGCTTGGTCGAGACAAACTGCTGGACAAAAGGAACCGAGCATGGTAAGTGAAATCCTTCCCTCGCATATGAAACCGAGTGATCAGGGCCGTTGGTGGTCACCCTTCGCGAAAATGGTTCTGCACCCCATAAGCCTCCCCCACGTTTGGCCGGCTACGTGGATCCAATTGCCCAAAAAGGCCCTGTGCAGTCTCCGGATCGTAAGATGATGGATCTCACTGGTCCCAATTCGATCATCTGACCGAGTCCCAAATATTATATTTATTGCAACCGAAACCACTTGCATCATGGCTGGCAGCCCGATCTTCGTTTCCAGAGCTGACTTGGTCATAGGAATCCATATGATTTCGAAGAGGAAAATGCCCTTCAGTCGTCTCCCCGAACTTTACGCTTCTTCGCCCTGTCCCACTCTGGACGATTGGGAGGCGTTGTGGGCGGCATGGGATGCTGTTACACAGCAAATGCTACCAAAAGAGGAGTTGCTGGACCAACCCATCAAGCTTCGCAACGCCTGCATCTTCTATCTTGGACATATCCCGGGGTTCTTGGACATTCAATTGTGTAAAACTACAAAGACGCCTCCGACCGAGCCAGCCCACTTCCAGCCAATGTTCGAGCGGGGCATTGACCCTGATGTCGACAATCCGGAGCAATGCCACTCTCATTCCGAAATCCCTGATGAATGGCCCGCAGTGGAAGAGATTCTTCAATACCAGCAGCGTGTACGGTCCAGGCTACTTGACCAGTACAAGAATGGAATCGATAACATTCCCAGAGCTGCTGCTCAAGGTATCTGGGTGGGATTCGAGCACGAGATCATGCACATGGAGACGCTCCTTTATATGATGCTCCAGAGCGACAAGACTATCCCTCCTCCTGACGTTCTGCGCCCGGACTTCAAGCGCTTGGCCAATAAAGCTCGCCAGTCCCGGGTCTCCAACCAGTGGCACGATGTACCTGCTCAGTCCATTATTCTTGGCATGGACGAGCCTGATCTTGATGCTGGTGTCAACGGGTACTTTGGCTGGTAAGCGACGATTTTCAGAAACGTGAATTCACAACTTATATGGTACTAGGGACAACGAGCGACCTGCAAGGAAGGCCAATGTTCATGCATTCCAGGCACAAGGACGACCGATCACAAATGAGGAGGTGAGTGACTAGATATTCTGCGAGATCGGTTCAAGGCTGACTTGAAAAGTATGCGGAATACATGTTTGAAAACCACATCAAAAAGGTCCCTGCATCATGGGCCGATGTTCAAGCAGCAGAATCCGATTCTGACACGGCCGTGGATGCGAATGGGCAAACGTATCTTGCTAATGGAAATACAAATGGCCATGTCAATGGGGTCAACGGGCATACCAACGGCCACGTCAACGGTCACACAAACGGACATGTCAATGGCACTGCAAATGGACATGTGAACGGACACCAGAATGGTGATAGTGTGGTCCCCGATTCATTCCTTGACGGTATTGCAGTCCGCACAGTTTATGGTCTGGTCCCGCTGAAATATGCATTGGACTGGCCCATTTTCGCATCTTTTGATGAACTCGCTGGTTGTGCAGCATGGATGGGAGGCCGAATCCCGACGTTTGAGGAGGCTCGAAGCATCTACACTTACGTTCATAACTCGAAGAAGATGGAAGCTGAGCGTACGCTGGGCAGGACGGTGCCAGCAGTCAACGGGTAAGTTGAATATTCAGATGAGTACAGTAGTCTTATCAGCTGACGTCCCTAGCCACCTGTCGAATGATGGCGTCGAGGAAACACCGCCAAAGAGAAAGTCGCTTGAGGCTGCGAAGGCTCGATCGGAGCTTTTCGCGGACCTCGATGGTGCCAATGTTGGCTTGCAGCATTGGCACCCGGTTCCCGTGACGGCCGACGGCGGTCGCCTCGCGGGACAGGGTGAGCTCGGTGGCGTCTGGGAATGGACCAGCACGCCCCTTGCTCGCCATGAAGGGTTCGAGCCTATGCCTCTATACCCTCAGTACACGGGTAATATACTTGCATTTCACGAGATTGACAATCTTGCTAACGATGAGCTGTAGCCGACTTCTTCGATGGTAAGCATAACATCGTGCTTGGAGGATCGTGGTCAACGCATCCCCGCATCGCCGGCCGAAGATCATTGTAAGTCGTATAGTATGTAAGCGATGTCTTGACATTATGTGCTGATAATTTGTAGCGTCAACTGGTACCAACGAAACTACCCCTTTGCCTGGTGCGGCGCAAGACTCGTCAGAGACATTAAATAAGCAGTTGCTTTCTTTTCATCTTGCTGGCTTTTATCGCCTAATGTAGCATTACCTCTCTTAATCACATCCCTTCTGGCAAAGGCTCTCAGTCCAACACTGCCCTCGCCACGAGAACGACTCAACTTCGTTCGCACCATTCCCTTGGCATTTGTCCAAAAAGCTTGAGTTTCTTTTGTCTTGTCTCGTTTTGCAAGGAGCATCATTGGGGGAAACGAAAAGGGATCAAGGGGCATTCACACGGGTTTTCATATCTAGGTGTATCGTGTTTCCTACTTCGGGTTCCTTATGGGTGGCTTGGGTATCGTTTCTTCGATTTGAGATTGGGCATCGAGAAACGTTTTCACTGTACCACTACTTTTCGCCAAACCAGGCGACTTCCGCCGACTTGAGCGGGATATCATCAATCAAGATTCACATTCGCTAAAACTTACCAGAGCCTGTGTTGGCTCACCGCGACGACGTGGTATTTGCCACTACTGAGTACTGACGATCCAGGATCCCGCCCACGATCTCCCGCATCCTCGGTTCTCGGGCACCTTACCTACCTTTACCAGTTACGTACCTTTTCGGGAACAAGAACGAGGTGCCGGACATCCATCCATCCATCCATCCATCCCCGCCTTTTCCAACTCATCCCCGGACCATCAAAAAAGTTCCTGCAAACCCCTCGGTCGGGCGTACTGCGTATGCAGGTCATACTGCGCGCGTGGACAGTTCCCATATTGGAAGTTGTGACGTCAACAGGCCGTGGGGGTCCGGTCGGGCCCCCCCTTCGGTTTTCACCTTCTTGGACCTTCCCCGTCTTTTGTTGTATCATGGGGTAGCAGATATCACGAACAAGTTACGAGTGCAGGGCGAAAGGACGGACTGTGAGGCGGGGGGGGGGGGGGGGTGGAGGGCTGCTCTGCCCGCCCGCCCTATTGTGAGGTCGTTCGTGTGCAGTGTAATTACGAGGTAGTCCACCTCGTTGGACTCTTGGTTGCATATTCTCGTATATAGAAACAAGCCAATTCGGCGAGGGTTCATCTGGTCTGTACTGCACGTATGCGTTATGGACGCAGGTAGCAAGCAGTGATTGGAAAATTGAACTTTTTTTTTGGTCTTCCTCACTCTATGTCGAGTTCTAAAACGGGCATTTCTTGCCGACATGTCTCTCCCGTCCCGTCATCAGCAGGATAGTTCCCCCCGACAAGGCGTCTACGCCTATTCAAGTGACAAGCACCTTTGAGGTGCCTGATTCACGGTCACACTACTGCCGCTGACCATGATCGGTCAGTTCCCTTACTATGCGCCTGGCCATCGGACTCTGCCATTGAGACGCAGCTCTATATCGCCGGCGGGACTTTTAGTCTCCACAATACGGCCCCCGGCACGTCCGCGGCCGGGCCCCAGTGGCATCAACGCCCACGATTTTCATCATGTGCGGTCGGGAGTCTCCAAACTGTGAAACTCTGAAAATCATAGGCGGGTATATCATATGTGTTTCGTAGTGAGAATCAACCGTTCAAGCTACCGTAGATGTCGAGGAGCTGCTCAAACACGTAGCTGGGTAGCTTGACGCCGTTTTCTGTCACGAGGTTGGAGATGAAATCAGGGGGCTGTAGTATGTTTATTAGCACTCATGGGCACTCAGTCAGGATATTGTGATTCATATAAAAACTCACAGTGTAGTCCACCGCATCCTCGGGCTGCTCGCTGGCACCGTCCGTCCGGAAGTCCAAGACGTGCTGCTGGAAACCGAGATCCCGCTGGTCCAGGGGCACCTTGCGCACAAACTTGTGGGACTCGGCGGCGACGTAAAAGGGTAGACCGGCCTGCTTTGCCAGCTTGGCAATCTGGTAGGTGCCCATGCGGGAGATGATGCCGCCGTTCTGCGTGACGGCCTCGGCGCCGACAAAGACCATGTGGACCTGGCGCAGCAGGCCGAGGACGTGGGCGACGGCGGGCTCGGCGATCTCGGCGACAGGAATGCCCTTGTCGCGGAGCTCCTTGACGACGCGATCCGACTCGGCAGGACGGTGCTCGTCGCGGACGTAGACGACCTTGAAGCGGACGCCGCCGTCGCCGGACTGGTCTGCGGCGCGGAAGAGCAGGTTGGATACGGCGCGGGAGGCGCCGTGGGTGAGGACGACCTTGCCGTCGCGGACGAAGCGCCAGCCGGCGTCGGCGATGCGGTCGCGGGCGGCGATGGCGCGGGAGGCGAAGAGGCGGCCGTTGCGGAGAAGGTGGGTGCGGACGGCTTCGAAGGACTGGTAGGGGGAGGGGGCGGCGGCGGCCGAGGCGGATGCGTTTGCGCCTTCTTGCTGCTTAAGCGAGGAGACGAGGTACTGAAGGAAGAGGTCGGTGCCGGCCTGGAGCGGGACAGGGTTGTTCACGGATGCGTGGAGGGTGTTTGAGGCGCGCTTGACGAGGTCGAGGGTCTCGAAGACGGTGGTTGTGCCCGAGGCGTTGAGGAGGGCGATGAGGGCCTCGATGGCGGCGACGGGTTTTGTCAGGTCTGGGTCCTCGAGGAGGGAGTGGTATGTTGAGACGATGCTGGAGGGGAGGGAGAGATTAGCTTTGGGCTAGATCTTAAGAGTATGTGGTGTTGTACTCGATGGCATCACTTGTCTTGATACGAATGGGGATATCGTTGGAAGCCTTGGGCTTTTGGCTGTCGCCAGCTGCTGTAAAATCACGCTGTCAGTGTTAATTCCTTTTATTTGGTGCGTTTGCATGTCGGTAGGTTGCTAGATAGGGAGAAAGGGGGCAGCGCACGTGTGAGGTCGCCGGTGGCCATGGTGATGTATGAGAAGAAAGATTCGGCTCGAAAGATGGGCAAGATGGGCAAGGCCCTGCGCAGCATGCAACTCGTGCGCTGCTTCTCGTGTCGTCAGTGGTGCTCACAGCGGTTGCCGAAGAGACTATCGGATATCGGTGGTGTGGTCAGAGGGGAATCGGCCGAAGTTGGTAATGGGACGTCGAGTTGCGAGTCGCGATGGCGGGGTTTGGTGTTGAAGCTCTCGGAAATTTTGGGCAAAAGGCAGTGACTCAATTCCCACGGGCCACGAGTGACCGAATGGAGCTTGCCGTTGCGCCCAGGCCCCAGGAGATTGATGGCTCTGATTTGGCGGGGTAATTAGGAGGGGCTCTCCTTAGGTTCACCACCGGAACCTCTGATACGGGGCTACCTTTCCTCCCATGCCATCTACACGTCTTTCCCAAGTATCCACCTATCTGCTCCGTATCTTTCCAGGTTGCCCTCCGATGCCGTAAGCAAGGTGCACACCTCCGTCTAGGCCCCCCGTCGGTCAAGGGTCCTTACAACACCATAGAAATAGCGGTCTCATCGCCCTGTATCGTCACCGTCACCCTGAAAGCATCCCACTACCGACAGCGGGGTCCCCTCCACTCCCGAAACACTGACACCACCCAATGCCCAGCTAATCAAGCTCCCGTCCTTGTAAGCCTTCATCTCCCCCCCTCCCCTCCCCTGAATACAAGCAAGCAATTCAACCCCGTTCTTTCTCCTCTGCTTCTTTTCTCCATCATGAAGCTTCTTCTACCTCTACACGATAGAGACACCCGTAGAAGCTCCCAAGCACATCCTCTTACCCCTCCCTGACAGTAGTTGAAGCTATATCCATCCTTCCAAACCACCATCACCACCACATCTACAACACATCACAGTTCTTCACACATACACAAAGAACAAAAGGCAATGGAGCAAATCGATCCTACAACGGGCAACCCCCTTCCCACCGACGCAATCCAGCGCATCCTCTTCATCGCCTCCGGCGCCCACGTCTATAACATCCCTCCCTTAACCTCGAACAAGGGCTACATCGCCGCCGGCTGGACCGACCGCCAAATCTTCACTGCGCGCCTCCGCGTCCTCGAAACAGCCTGGGAAACCACCGCCGCCGCCCGCCCTACCCCAGTAGGCGTAGGCTCCGCCGTCGTCCCCGTGGCCCCCGGCGCCCCCGCGGGCATCACCTCGAAAGAGAACCACATCAAGGTCGACATTGTCCTCGAGGACCCCTCCAACGGCCAGCTCTTCGCCGCCGCGCCCTACACCTCCATCAACGCCGTCGAGCCCGTGCTCGACTCGTCGCGCTTCTTCGCCGTGCGCGTCATGGACGGCCAGGGCCGGAAAGCCGTGCTGGGCGTCGGCTTCGAGGAGCGCAGCGAGGCGTTTGATTTCGGTGTCGCGTTGCAGGAGGCGCAGAAGAGCTTGGGTTTGCTGGATGCCAGCCACGCCAAGCAGGCGGCGGAAAATAGTAAGCGCGCCGAGGAGGAGAAGAATAAGGATTACAGCCTCAAGGAGGGTGAGACCATCACAATCAACTTTGGCGGGTCAAAGATTGGGCGCCGGGCGAGGACCGAGTCCGGGTCCGAGATCCCCGGCGGAGGAGCGGGAGGAGGGCTGCAAGGGTTCTCCCTTCCGCCGCCGCCGAGCGCGCCCAAGAGCAGCAGCGGTGCTGGTGCTGGCAGCTTCGGATTGCCGCCGCCGCCAAGTGCTGCCAATATCCGGGACAAGAAGAGGGAGAACAGGAAATCCGCGCAGGATCTGGGGTTTGACGACGGTCAGTTTGGAGAGTTTGCGTAAGGGGCTGGCTGACTGCCGCGGAGCGTCAGTCATGCACGACCTGGACGAATGCTACCAGGTAGTTTCGTTTTCGCAGCTGCCAACGAAAGAAGAAAAAAGTAACAAAAGCTCAGCCCCCTACAAGAGGAGGCTTACGAAAGATCCGAGCTACACCTCATATGAAATGAGGCTCGGATTTTTACAAGAGAAAGCCGGGACTCGAACCCGGGACCCATGGGAGCGGGGCAATTCAAACGAGGACATTCCCCGCCACGCCATGGGCCTTGGTGACAGTATCAAACAAATTTGTGTGTTATAGAGGCATGGTGGCAGGTGGTTGGCGGTGAGTGAGCGAGCAAGCAAGCCTGGATGAGTTGGTGACGGTTGTGGTATATTCATGGCCAGGAATAAACACAAAAGTCTAAAAAGATGCACGTTAAGGAGTTCGGAGGCGGCCCTTGTTTGATGATTATAGTAAAAAGATTCCCTACCCTGCTTTACTGCAATTACCATATGTTTGCCTACTCCCTGGATGAAACATGAGAACACCAAAGGCACACGCAGGCTGGGTTCGTCTACTTACGCCTGTCTGCCGTACAACTATGCTCAAGGTAGTTAGTTTGGATAGACCTGTGATACTGGCTCGTTCGCCTTTTCGCCTGGTCTACGTAGCCCCTTAACCTCTGGCCAGAGGCTTTTCAATGAGGGTAGACCACTTCTTCTGCCCGACATCAGGAGTTTGTTCTCCTCGCTTGGTTCCTGGCTCTGGCCTTCATTAACGTCCTGCCACGAATACTCTGCCCTCTCCCCATAAACAAATCGTAAGCCATGATTCCCAAAGTCGTCCGTGAAAACCTCAGCAGGTTAACTCAAATCGGCCCACGATTCAGCTGGTGCTGTATTATACACCTCGTAACACACCTCATACCCATGCTCCCTGAAACGAGGCGCCGCCCCGTGCCACGTGTTGTAGATTGGATGGCAACCCGCGGGAAAGAAGACCGGGGAGGCCGCGTCCAGCGGCGGCGGCATCATCGATGTCACATCAGATGGAGTTGTAGCATAAGCAGAAGCACTGGGTGAATCGATGGACCACCATCCATATCTTCGCTCGTGGAGTTCGTTTTGTATCTGTATCCAGGTCTCGCGGCTTTGAAGCTCCACGTAGATATCGCCGAGCCGCAGGAGAATGGCCTTCTTTTGTGCCGTGGCATCGATGATCTTGCTCTTGAGCAGAGCTATCTTCTTTCTAGTCTTGCGGCGCTCGTCAGACGGCAATCCGCTGTCCACATTCCCCTGAAGAGTCGACAGCCTTCGCATGAGGTCGATCTCGCGTTCGCCCTGTTGCATAATGAAGCAGTCAGGTAAGCCTTTTCCGTGTATAAATGCTCGAAAGAAAGCGGTGATGCTGAGGCCGACCACACTGATTTCGGATTGGTGGTCGTGATGAGGCTGGCTCCTGGATTCGGGCATCCGAGTCTCAGAACGGGCCGGAGTGGTGATGGTACTGCCGGAGTATAAAGCATTCCTGGCCCTCTGAGGCATGGCAGGCTTGGAGAGTCGTTCGAGGCCGAGTCATCAGACGATGCTGTAGAGTCTTGATTTCTGATGTTGGAAGGAACGAAGACTGGAGCTTCGACATACTGATTCATGATGAGGGGCAAAGATAAACCATGGTACTAGTGTAGACGAGGTTGCCTTTCGAGAGGGAACAGTTGGCTCTGTCCGATCAGATATAGGTTGTAACCAATTAGAGTCGATTCCCACTGTGTCCCGATCTGGCCAGTTCGAGCCTTCGAGGCAAAGGGTAGCTTAGGGGTTCATAAGTATGAAACCCCCTCGCCGCGGCATCCCCATATCCGAGACCGAGAGCTCTAATTGAACTTGATGAAATAAAAATGCAGTGACCAAGAGAAACCGGATTTAGTCTGGTACGTCTGAGAAAGAGCAGGCATTTGGCAAACAAGATGGCGCAGTTGAAGCTCCGGTGCGATCAGTGCTTCCCAACAATATCCGAATTCGCAGCAGATACGGCGTCCTAATGAAGTATGCATGATAGAGCTGCCCATCTGCTTGTACTGGCAAATCAATACGGGCGATTTTACCTGCATGCTCGTCAGCCCAATAGTTCTCAAACGTAGACTCGAGGTGAATGAACGCCTTAAGAGCTACTGAAACGCAATTGTGGATCTGAACATTGATATGAGGACCAAACGATCATAGAGGGTACTATGCCAGCAGTGATGCGATTGGTAGCAAAACAACCACGTCACTCACGCAGCTGTAGGTGTTGACGCCATCATAAAAAACGGTCGTGCTGTTGGTATAATCCAGACGAACACCCCTGCTAGAGAGGTCTGGATCGCCATACGTCTGCGGCCGTCCTACCCGTGCAGGGGCATCTTACCCCTTTGAGGAGCAACTTCCAAGCCTGTCGCAAGAGCACCTACCATCGTTCCTTTCGACGCAAGGTATTTCTTTTCAGATGTTGAAGCCGTCGTGCCGAGGAGGATCGCAGAACCGCCAAAGACCAGCCGTTTCCGCAGCCTTTCGGACCGAGGATACCTCGTCTCCCGATACGGCTCGGTTGATTTCGCTATAGCGGAGCTCGTCGTCCTGAGTGTCGGTGCTCTTTTTGTTCCGTCTCTTGGTCTTGCCAACGTGCGCGTCTGGGTGGTACTGCTCCATAATGTTGACGAAGCAGTCTCTGGAAACTTCCTCAGCTAAGAACTGCATTATGCGATGTCCCTCTTTTTCCTTTCCGGGCATGACAAGATGGCGTACTAAGAGGCCGCTCTTGGCGATGCCATCTCCAGTAAAGCACAGATCACCGACCTGATTGTGCATTGCTTTTATGCTCTCGCGAGCCGTGGCGGCATAGTCGTCTGCCTTGAGCAGCCGCTTGGATGTCGCCGACTCCCATACCTTGAAGTCAGGTAGGTAAATATCCACCAAGCCATCAAGTAGCTCCAAGGACGCTAACGAATCAAAACTGGAAGTATTGTATATGATTGGCACTCGCAAGCCTAGCTCTTTCGCATGCAGGATGCTGAGGACAACCTGGGGAACGACATGTTCCGGGGTAATGAGGTTGATGTTGTGAACGCGGCCGATTTGCTGTAGCTTAACGTACCATTCACCCAGCTCTTCGGGTGTCAAGTCTTGGCCGTTACGCTGATGTGCAATGTCATGATTTTGGCAGAATACGCAACGCAGATTGCAACCCGAGAAGAATACAGCGCCACTGCCATTGTGCCCTTGGACGCAAGGTTCTAGACCATGGTTAGCTCGAAAGCATTTTGCAGGACCTCCGAGAGGTTGGTAAAGATGTTGGATGCGATGGAGAGGTTTGCTCCAGACCTTCACCAAAATGCGGAGCAATCACGTTGACCTTGGTGTCATTGCCAATCAGACACATTCCAGTCGTCTCGAAACGATTGACACCGCAAAGTCGCGGACAGAGGTTGCACTTGGAAAGATGAGCGTAGGCCTTTGATCGCTTTTTGGATTCATCGATGGAGGTCAAGGCCATATAACGGGGCGTGTAGTCGTCCAGGAGGAACGGGGGCGCAAGATGTAGGTAGCGGCAAGCGCCCGCCATGCTCCGACGAAAGACGTCGTGCCTCTGTGTGATGGCTCGTCTCAACATGCTCATTCTGCGAGTTTGGGCATGGCAATCTGAGGTGTAAGGTAAGCGATGGAAACATTTCTTGCGTCACACAGGACGATTGGAAGGAGGAGAGGTGACATTACTTCATGTGTCGTTTCATTGGCTCAAGCGCCTAAATATGGGTCCTCTTCCGATCGTCCATCGGCCGACGGCGAAGGAGCTGTCCGTCCGTGCCGTCCTGCTGCCCCTTCCGTGTAACCTCCTCGCACATCGTCCTTCTCAGATGTTTCCTCCCAAGTTTGCCATCGCAATTCTTAATTTGTTTCTCAAGGAAATGGTCCGAACTTCTGCAAGACCTACAGACAATGCAAAGTACAATTCACATTTCCCGCATTGAGATAATGGTCGACTTGGCGATTCCGAGAGGCTCCAAGCCCTGGCCGATGTTCGTCTCTCAATTTGTTGCATGACAGGAGCTCGCAATCGCATCATGGGCTATGTCAACGCCCAAATATCTGGTACGGCTTCAAACGGATGAATTTAGCAATGGTAAACAGTCATCTTCATCTGGATTGAGAGAAGCATCTCAGCGCTGAAGCCGTGAGGGTAGTGCGTGTATAAGTATCAACACTTGTCTTTACAGGCTTGTCTTCCGTAATCATCTCGACATCCATTTTCGCCAACTTATCTTGATTTCAAAGCTGGCCGTGCTGCAGGGATCTCTATTCAGCTCTACAACAAGCTCCGGCTTCCGTGAAGATCGACATAACACCACCCGAGGGGACGGCCAGAATAGAGGGGCACGTTTTTGCTTTTGCAACGACCCACTGAGGGTTCTTCTCGAGTGTAAAAATTGGATCTACGAAGATACTGAAGATTTCAAGTGATTCAAGCTAGAGTCTTGCACAAGATACAGCGCATGATCTCAGTCAGATCTATCACACATCATCGACCATTTCGAAATGCCCAAAAGGACGGCACGTCAAATAATTTACCCGTCCGTGAAAGCCGATGGCTTGTTACGATCGCCGGATTACTTGCGCGAGCTGAGTCAACTTCAGATGAAGGAGGGGCAGCTGTCGGAATAAGAAAGTTGAGTCTCTCGGCAAAACAGTCTTCTACGAGTCTCTAAGCTCTGAAATAGGGCGAAGAAGAAGGACTTGCGAGCTAGAAGACTTGTAACGCGTTCTAGTGTGTTTTCAGACACATTGCTGTGGGTGAAGGGGACGCCAACAATACGAACTCGTGGGTTGAGGTGGTCTCCGCAACTCTCTCTTACAACACGATCTCGTGCCACTTCTTGTCTTGCTGGACTGAGGTGCTCCAGATATCTGCGTGGAGTGCTCCAGGAATCTCATCACAAATGGCAGAAGAAACGAGTATGGAAATGGGAAATGGATATAACACTTGACGGGATCGAGTCTTTGGGTGCCCAGTCATGCGCTGGTGAGTCTTCCGTGACTCTGTCCTTTCACTCTTTTCCCGTTGTCCGTGTACATCCTCAAGATAGTCAAGGCCGGGCGACTAAGCCTTGCATCCATTCGTTTGACCTAGACGTTCACTTGGAAGACCTCTTTCTCACTCTCGTTAATCAGAAAGCTCTTTTTTTTCTTTTTCATTGGTTCTGTGTCAATAATTTCCACTTCATCATCATCCTTTTTTTCAGTGTTCATACATCTTGGAAGGGCGTTTGTGTTCGAGCCCTGACGACAACAATTCTATTCTTAATATCACCTAGAGCGCGTCCCGACCTCAACCAATATGAATTCGACTTTGGCGTTGCTCGTATTCTTATCTTGGGTGTTGCTTCCCATTTCGAACGCCCTACACATCACCGACGAGACTATCGACAAGTTCCTCCTCGAAGAATATGACTACATTGTCGTTGGCGGTGGTCTCTCAGGCTTGGTCGTCGCCAACCGTCTGAGCGAGGATAAGAACAGTAAGCCCTTCTTCTTCTCCTTCATAATCCACGCGCGGGTTTCAACATCACTGACCGTACGCCAGCGACTATCCTCGTGATCGAGTCTGGCGAGCTCGACGGACGTGAGAGCAGGGTTATCGCGCCCGGTTACATTGGCCTCACGCCGCCCTCGCCGTACGGCAAGAGCGTCACGACAGCTCCCCAGAAGTTCCTCGATGGCAAGACGCGCGGGATCAGCCAGGGCAGAGTCATTGGAGGCGGTTCCGTCACGAATGGCATGTGCTGGACCAGAGGCTCGGCAGCGGACTTTGATGCTTGGGAAGAGTTGGGGAACCGAGGATGGGGATGGAAAAGCCTTCTTCCCTACTTCAAGAAGGTGAGCTTGATGTTTCACACATGGCAATGGCAGTGAACAAATAAGAACCCCAAAACTGACGTGACATACAGGTTGAGACGTACACCACCAATGTTGATCAAAACATCCAGGACCGCCTCAACATCCACCCAGATATGTCGGTTCACGGCACAGAAGGAGCCATCAATGTCGCTTATCCTGAGTACTTCTACAACTCGTCCGGTATGGTCCCCTTACCAACCATTTGGTTTCAATATCCTGACTTCCTCACAGATCATGTTATTCACGGACTATCAGAGATGGGCATCCACCTCTCGGGCGACCTTAACACGGGCGACCCGACGGGAGCCATGATGGTCCCGTCCAGCATGTCTCCCACCAACCAGACCCGTTCTGATGCGAGAACAGGCTACTTCGACCCGGCCATCCCTCGATCGAATCTGCACGTCATTACCGGACAGACCGCGACGCGTCTCATTGCAGGCTTGCCAGGCTCACTGGCCAAGGAGGGAACCCGCCGTCGAATCATTGGGGTTGATGCAAGTCCACCATCCGTTCTCCTAAGATGGCGTCTCCGGATTCAGGGGGACCTATTCACTAACTGTCTATAGTTCTCATCTGAACCCCTTGGCATCAACAGAACAATCACCACCAAAAGGGAGGTCATCTTGGCTGCCGGCGCAATCCAGTCGCCCACGCTTCTTCAGGTTTCAGGCATTGGTCCTCGGAACGTCTTGGAGTCTTTGAATATTTCTGTGCAGATTGAGCTGCCAGGTGTCGGAAACAACTTTCAGGACCATCCCATGGCCCAATTCGGGTTCGACTGTATGTCCTCCCTTCATCCCTCTTACTGCCTCCCAAGATGGCCATAGAGCTGACTCGAACCACAGATTCCAACTCATCCATATTCACTTCTCGCGACCTCACCGGCGCCGCCTTCGACAGCGCACTCGACACCTTTGTCACAAATCACACCGGTACGTCGACATCCCTATATTACACAACCAAAACTAACAAGTCTTTAGGCCCCCTGACCGCCCCCCTAATCAACACAGTCGCCTTCCCAAGCCTTCAATACCACGCATCCGAGTGGAAACCCCTCCTCCAGCACGCCCAAAACCAATCCTCCTTCACCTTCCTCCCGCTCGACACCCCGCCGACGGTACAATCCGGCTACACCCGCCAAAAGCGCCTCGTCCTCTCCCACCTAGCCCGCCCGGACGTCGGCGCCTACGAGCTCCTCGCCGCCTCCTGGGGCCAAATGTCCATCGCCAACCAGAAGCCTCTATCCCGCGGCACCGTTCGCCCCGCGTCCGCCTCAATCTTTGACGGACCCGTGGTTGACCCGCGCTACTGTGCCGACCCGCTCGACTGCAAAATTATCCGTCTCGGCCTTCAACTCGTCCAGCGCCTCATGCGTACGGAAGCCATGACGCCTCTCCAGCCCGTCGTTGAGGATCCGCGTTTGAACTCGACGGATGAGATGGAGCTCATGGCGGCGCTGAAGCCGCTCGTCGGCACCGAGTACCACCCCAGCGGTACGACGAGCATGATGCCTCTGGAGCTGGGCGGGGTCGTGGACGCGGAGCTGATGGTGTACGGGACGTGTAACCTGCGCGTTGTCGATGCCGGGATCATGCCGCTCGTCCCTGGGGCGCATATACAGGCTGCCGTGTATGCTGTTGCCGAGAAGGCTGCGGATATCATCAAGGCTGCTGCGGGCGGACCGGAGTTGTGTCCTTTGGGTCGGCCGGAGTGGCCGCCTGTTTAAGGGGATGGGTTGTTAAGATTGAAGGTTGTGAATTGAGTGAGGTGGGCCAAAGACCAAGATGGTAGAGAGGTTATCATTGATTGAACTTCATGATTGTGTCTATGTCGATAGTAATGATAATTAGGCGGTCGATCATATTGACTGACGGTTGATTGAACTAACCACCTGCTCTCATGGTGACCATGATACACAATTGCTCAGAATTCCGACCACAGTCTGTGCCATAGTCAGCGAGATAAATACATGTGAAAGAGGACAAAAAAGAGTTCATCCCCCCGGTGCTGAACTGGGGGCTACATCTCTTAGTGCTCATGCTGGGAAACTTGGTGCTCATTCTGGGATTCGAACTCGGCGTACTCTCGCTAAGCCTGTCGTGAGTAGGCTGGTTGGTGTAGATAATTGATTATTGACCATTAACCACTCCACCATCCAGCCAGTTTGACCTGACCCGTCGACCTAGACAGGCGCCTGCTGGCTGGTGACGGGAATGAGACTGAGGGGATATATAAAGGTATACATCAAGGTCCTAGGGCAGGCAGGACCGGAATACTCGTACGTCTGGCCGCGCCTGCCTGGCCGACAGTTCCTACCTACCTTGTGCTGCGTACATATATGGTTTGGCTTGAGGTTCTCTTCTAAGCATACACACCATACCGAACAGCGGAGACATTTCATGGACACGTGAGATGTGCCTTTACTTGTTTGGAGTCTTGTCAATTTCAACGCGAAATTAAGACTGGATAAGGGAGCGATGAAGCTTATCCCCAATGGCTTTGTATGTGTACTAAGACCTAGACGCTGAATATACCGAGCGTCGCATAATTCATCACTTTAATACTGACCTCGACGCAAGGCAGAGAGTACTGACGGTATGCAAACAACCGAGACTGGCATGAAGGAGGAATCGGACTCAATTATATTCATCCCCATCCCACATCTACTCCAAAAAAGAGACCGCCTTGGCCCCCGCCTACAACCCTTTCATAAACTCCAGC